GGTATAGAGTGGCAAAGAGGTAAATTTTTCATGGTTGAAAGTTTTTTGTTGTATTATATATGCGCATATTAATGACCATGCTAGGGTAAAGCTCGACCCAAAGTCACTAAAATGCATCTTCGTTGGGTATGGCGGAGATGAGTTTGGTTATCAACTCTGGGATAATTCGAACAAGAAAATCATCAGAAGTAGAGATGTGATTTTCAACGAGAAAGTGATGTACAAGGACAGAGATGTAGCACAGTTAACTAGTCCTGTACAGAGTAAGCCTAAGTTTGTTGAGTTGGGTGATGATCCAGAGAGCATTGACACAGAGCAGACATATAAGGGTTCTTAGCCAGAACTCACAGAGCATAGTTCACTGCGGATTCTAACTCCTAAGCCTGCACCCAAAAAGTCCACGCAACCTCATGTATCGAATCGGAAATATTTGGGTTATATATTGTTTATAGATGATGGTAAGCCTGAATGCTATGATGAAGCATGTCAGGTTGAAGATGCTAGCAAGTGGGAGCTTGCAATAGAAGATGAGATGAAGTCCCTTATCTCTAACAAAACATGAGAACTAGCCAAGTTGCCCATGAGGAAAAAAGCTCTTCACAACAAATGGATGTACAGTGTAAAAGAGGAACATGATGTTTTTAAGAGATACAGGGCGAGAATGGTGGTCAAAGGCTTTCAGCAAAAGCAAGGCATTGACTACACATATATTTTTTCTCCGGTAATGAAACTGAGAACCATTCGCTCAGTTCTTAGCATTGTTGCAGTAGAAGGGTTGCACTTTGAGTAGTTAGATGTTAAAACTGTTTCCTCCATGGTGACCTAGAGGAAGAGATTTACATGCAACAACCGGAGGGTTTCTCAGTCAAAGGGAAAGAGAAATTAGTGTGCAAGTTGAAGAAAAACTTGTATGGTTTGAAGTAAGTCCCGAGACAGTGATACAAGAAGTTTGATGGTTTTATGAAGCGACATGACTACAATAAGTGCAACGCTGACCATTTCTGCCACTTCAAGAGGGTCAAGTCAAGTTTCATTATCCTTCTACTTTATGTTGATGACATGTTAGTGGCAGATTCTGATTTTGAAGAAATCAGCAAATTAAAGAAGCAGTTGTCTAGTGAATTCGAGATGAAGGATCTTGGTGCAGCGAAGTAGATTCTTGGAATGAAGATTAACAGAGACAAGCAGAAAGGTACTTTAAAGTTGTCTCAGGTTGAGTACGTTAAACGGGTTCTGAAGAGGTTCAACATGAATAATGCTAAGACGGTGAGTACTCCCTTAGTTAATCACTTTCGATTATCTCAAGATCAGTGTCCGAAGATAGAGAATGAGAAAAACTTCATGGCTAAAATTCTATATGCCTTAGCCATTGGAAGTTTGATGTATGCCATAGTGTGCACAAAACTAAACATTGCATATGCAGTGGGAACAGTAAAGAGGTTTATGAAGGATTCGGGCAAGCTACACTGGGAAGTAGTAAAGTGGATATTGAGATATCTACGGGGTACCACAGACAGATGCTTATGTTTCATAAGGGACGAAGTGAAGCTACATGGTTATGTAGATTCAGACTTTGCTAGTGAGGTGGACTACAAAAGAAGTACTACTAGGTATGTGTTCATGGTGGGTACAACTGCAGTTAGTTGGGTTTCGCAAATACAGAGGATTATAGCGTTATTTACTGCAGAGGCAGAGTATGGGTCAATGACAGAGGACAGTAAGGAGATGATTTAGTTACAATGTTTGTTGACAGAGTTGGGATTCAAACAGGTGAAAAATGTTTTGCACAATGATAGTCAGAGTGTGATAAATTTGACAAAGAATTCAGCATTTTATTCAAGGACCAAGCATATAGGACTTCAGTATCACTTTATCAGATCTTTATTAGAAGATGGGGTGTTGACACTTGAGAAAATACTTGGTACCAAAAATCCAGCTGATATGTTGACCAAGACAGAGACCATGGCTAAACTGAAGTTGTGCGCAACTTCAGTCGTTCTTCTAGCTTGAAGACAGAGAGAAGTGCACCGACATGCATGGACATGCATGAAAAGAAAATGGAATGAGTTTACAAGTGCTCCAGCCTCCAAGTGGGAGATTGTTGTGTTTTTGTGGAGTCTAATTAGGTAATTGATTTTTTAGGAATATTTAATTATATGGAAACTTCAAGACTGCTGAAGTTTAGGGAAAATTTAGTTTTCTGATTTGATTGAACTTCCTTATTGCTTTTGGTTTTGGCATCACTTTATCAAATCTTTGTTAGAAGATGGGGTGTTAACACTTGAGAAAATACTTGGCACCAAGAATTCGGCTGATATGTTGACCAAGATAGTGACCATGGAGAAACTGAAGTTGTGCGCAACTTCAGTCGGTCTTCTAGCTTGAAGACAGAGAGAAGCGCACCGACATGCATGGGAGATGCATGAGAAGAAGATGGAATGAGTTTACAAGTGCTTCAGCTTCCAAGTGGGAGATTGTTGTGTTTCTGTGAAGTCTGATTAAGTAATTGATTTTTTAGGAAGATTTAATTATATGGAAACTTCAAGACTGCTGAAGTTTAGGAAATATTCAGTTTTCTGATTTAATTTAACTTCCTTATTGGTTTTAGATTCTACAAAAGGTAAGTTCTTGTAGGACAAGTTTGTGACTCTATAAATATCAACTCTAATAAGATTTTAGAGTGTGTGAGGTTAGGGATAAATTTGTGCCAATACAAAAGAGAGCAATTGAGAGAGATTGAGAGAAAATTCTCCATTGTAATTCTTCATCTTCTTCATAGTTAATTTGTTCGGTGTGCTCCATAAACGTAACCTTAAGATTTTAGTGAACCATGTATATCTTGTGTTCTTGTGTGTGATTTTTTTTATTCTTCGTTATTGTTTGTTTATTTCTTGAACAACATTGTTTATTTTGCGTTTCTGCTACAATAACTAGTATTAAATCCGATTGATTGTGCAAAGCAACTCTAACAAATCTTTCCTCATCCTTGGATTGAGCTTACCTTGTTTTGGATTGAGCTTACCTTGTGATATAAATTAATAATAATAGTGTTAACTTAACTTAAGCCTCACTTAATCTGAACTTTTACGACTTGAATAGAATTTCTTTATTTGACTCTTTGAGTTCACATTTCTTAAATATGTTGGGAATAATGTATGTGCAAACAAAAACTAGAATACTAGTTTATTATTATCTTTGTGTGAATTAGGGTCAAGTAAATAAAAAATGGACACTTAACCAACCAAGGTTATAATAGTATCTTCCCAACTTGCCAGAGTGTACGATGAGTTTTCATGGGGTAATAAGAGTTTTTGTCAATAAATAAAAAAGAAAAAAGGAACAAAAGAGACATGTAAGTAAACACATTGTTAACAAAAAAAATTATCATATAATAAAATAAAAATAAATATACATCTGTATAATTACTACGGTTTAGATGGATTCGTCTTTTGTAACATCTGAACTTCACAATAATCAATTTTAATAGTTCTAGTAATTTTGGAACCAAAACTAAACCATTGATTCACGAAACCGGACCAAATGCACTATTTGAATTGCCTTGGATTGGATTGATGGTTTCAATAAAATCATTATTGATTGCTAAAAAGATTTCATATATTGCGAAAGTGAAAAAAAAAAAAATTTTAACTTAGTTTTATTGAAATCCAAAGTTTTAAATTTTAAGAATCACACCGAAGTAATTTCCATGACTGTGTTCTAAAGGTGATTATTTTAAGTGTATTCTATATAAGCACAGACAAAGTCAACCAGTCATTGATTTTTTATTTATTTTTGTTTTGTTTTGGCACGAGTCTTGTGACCGAATAGTATCTCCTTTACTTCTCAAAGTGGATGGTAAAAGTTATATTCAGTCATTGATTGACTAGGACAATTGGTACTATCTACCAGTAATAAACTACGTTATATTTTAAAAAATCTACAATTTATTCATTAGTTGTAAACAATATCACGTCACTTAGGTCTTCCTAAATAATTTTAGACGTGTATATTTTTTCCATTTAAAAAAATATATATGTTTCTCAAAACATATTAACATTATATGTTTCCTAGAACACATGCTTCTTTTAATACTTTTTCTCATTCTTAAAATACTCGGTATTTTAATACTTCCAATTTCATATTTATCAATGTAATATGTGTACGATTAGGTCATTTAACACACTTTTTTAATTTTTTTTTATTTTTTTATTATTAAGTAGTAAAGCAAACACGTGCACACACATTTTGCCCACTCCTCCCCTTTTCTTTGAAAATGGGAAAGTTATACCATTAAGTGAAAAACCTTTTGGTAGGTCATTTAACACCAACTGTGTCAATGATGTAAATGTAAATCAAATATATTATTTTAGGGATGAAACATTCATGGTCTAGTTTTTGAAAACAGTTTTCTATTTTCATAAAATAAAAAAAAATTAAATAAAATTTAATTTGATTGAAAGTTTATTAAAAACCAAGTTAAAGAAAACTATTTAAAAAATTTGAAGGTACCTCAAGAATTTGATTTTGCTCATTGCTTTTATCCGAAAAAGAAAAAAAATCTCATTGTGAACTAAAATTTCTCTACTAATTTGTAAGCTATTCACCTTACAATTTGAATTACTTATATGCTATATATGAACAATTAATACAAAATCATAATCTAGTCATCTCCTCTACTCATAGACTCTTTAATTTCTCAAATTTTCTCACCACAAGTCTTAATAACTAATGTTTTTTTGATCATGGAGTTGGGATTATGAAATATAATATCTAGAAATAAGATCATGAAACTCCATGATCAAAATATGAAGTCAACACAATGAACCGTCCATTCTTCAACGAGAAGGAAAACAAAAGAATTCTTCAAAATGAACGGCTATTACTTTGTAATCAGAGGAGCGGGGCCTACACAATTTGGGGCCAGACATCATCTATGGGTGCAGATACATGAGTCCATGAACTGTAGGATAGATTTTCCCCATAAGTATATATAGATTTTCCCCACAAGCACTCCTTCCCAATTTATCAGATCAACACACCGTTTTTTTTCATTTTCCAATTTCCTTCTCTCACTGCTACACATATTTCTATATATTCTTCTTCACAAAAAAAAAAAAAATTTAACCCAAAAAAAAAAAAAAAAAAATCCATACCTGCACATACATCTTCTGATTCTCCATCTGGGTATCTAAATTTGCAATTTTGTGATTATAAAATTGAAAGAATTGAAAGACAAAGAGAGAGATAAACAGGGGTAATATAGAGGAGGATGAACATACCCTCGGTTTTTACTTCGCTTCCTCTTAGATCTTAGCTCATTTTGTTTGAGATTTCCCATCTGGGTGTTCTTTAATCGGGTGGGTGGTTGTAAAAAAATTGGATTTGTTCTTGACACTATGCAAATTTGGCGTCAATTTTATTCTTTTAACCAGTTTTATTATTGATTTCATTGTTGGGTTTTTCAGGGATCCTCAATTCTCTGTGGATTGATCTTCGAAGGATCCAATGGTTTTGGTTTGAATCCGGGAGAATCTAATCGGCATCAGAGATACTATTTTTGGGTGTTTCTTGCAATTTCCCAAAACAGGTATGGTGCTTGGTGTTTGATTGGTTTTTTATCCACATTTCATTTCATGCTCCTAGTATTGTGATGATGGTGTTTTATTTCAATTCAGTTCAATTTATGGGTGTTTTGGTTTTCTTCAAACTGTGTTCTTGGATCAACTATAGGATGGTTTTTGTTTTATAAAGAAGAAGCTGCCTTTAATTTTGCATTTATAGATTTCAAAATAATTAGAAGTGATGAAGTAATTATTTTCCAGGTAGAAAAATGCAATCTGACCATGGCAAGCTATTCATTGGTGGAATCTCTTGGGATACAAACGAAGAGCGTCTTAAGGAGTATTTTAGTACATATGGGGAAGTGTTGGAAGCAGTAATTATGAAGGATCGAACCACGGGCCGAGCTCGTGGTTTTGGTTTTGTTGTCTTTTCGGACCCTGGTGTTGCTGAGAGAGTCATTAAGGAGAAGCACAACATTGATGGTAGAATGGTAAGTTGTTGGAGCTAGAATATACCAATATTCATATTAGTACATTCATCTCTGACCATGATGTCTTTAGATTGCATGAAAGAATAGAAAAAGGAGTCATCTTCCTATGTGAATCCAAAGTTCTAATTTTGAAGTTTGGTTTTTATCAGAAAATGTATACAATTTAATCTCAGATTGGCCCAAAAGTAATTTCATGTCGTCACTTCTTGCTTTTACTACTCTTTTGAGATAATGTCTCCAGAAAATTATTGTAATATGTATTCTTTGAGTTGGGTTTTCCTTATCAAATTCTCAATCCTCAGGTTGAGGCAAAAAAGGCTGTGCCAAGGGATGACCAGAACACAATGAGTAGAAGCAGTAGTAGCGTTCAGATTTCTCCTAGTCCAGGACGCACAAAGAAGATATTTGTTGGAGGTTTAGCATCAACGATTACAGAGAGTGAGTTCAAGAAGTACTTTGAGCAATTTGGGACAATCACAGATGTTGTGGTGATGTATGATCATGCCACACAGCGGCCAAGAGGGTTTGGATTCATCACTTATGATTCGGAGGATGCAGTTGACCAAGTGTTGCTCAAAACTTTTCATGAGCTGAATGGTAAAATGGTTGAAGTCAAGCGTGCGGTCCCTAAGGAACTATCTCCGGGTCCTAGTCGGAGCCCTCTTGGTGGATATAATTATGGATTAAATAGGATCAATAACTTTCTCAATGTCTACTCCCAAGAATACTCTCCAAGTGCTGTTGGAGGTTATGGAGTTAGGATGGATGGTAGATTCAGTCCAATCACTGGTGGTCGAAGTGGGTTTGCTTCGTTTGGTTCTGGCTATGGAATGGGTTTGAACTTTGAACCAGGGTTAAACCAAAGTTACGGGGGAAATGCAAACTTTAATAATACTCTCAGCTATGGACGGGGACTGAATCCTTACTACATTGGTAATTCAAATAGGTTTACTAGTCCTATGGGGTACGAGGGAGGCAATGGAGGAAACACTTCTTTTTTCAGCTCAACAACTCGGAATTTGTGGGGAAGTGGGGGGCTTAATTATGGAACAAACTCCTCAAGTTCGAACGCTTATATTGGAGCAGGAAGTGGGAACATTGGAGGAGGCACCTTTAGAAACAGTGGTGTTAATTGGGGTTCTTCTCCCATTTCGCCCCAAGGTGAAGGCAATGTTTCAGGCAATAGTGGGAATCTTGGTTATGGAAGTGGTGATAACTTTTATGGTTTGGGAGCAGGAGGGTTTGAAAGAAAGACTGCTACAAGTGGGGTCCCCACATCGTCATATGCTGCATCAAATGGTGGTTATGATGGGGCTTTTGCTGACTTTTATGGTGGTGGCTCAGTTTATGGGGAGTCCACCTGGCGTTCAGCAAATCCAGAGCAAGAAATATCTGGTTCATTTGGTTATGGGCTTGGCAATGTAGCCTCTGATGTTCCACGTAAAAGTTCGCCCGGTTTCATTGGTGGTTATAGTGTTACTAAGAGATAGGCGAATAGAGGTAAGAATCGCTAATTAAATATCTTCGTTTAAGTGTTTGTTCATACTGATTTCTTTAATGATATTTTATCTTGTTCAGAACTTTATGTTACATTACCAAGATGCATGTTAAGCAGAATGTCAATATATCCATACATGACGAACTCAACAAATTGGGGTTGATTATATCATGTTTTTCCATTCTCCAATTCAGGGTCATATGTTAATGTCATTTGGTAATTAAAAAGTCATAACCACAGTTTTGCTGGTCCACTTCTTTTCCACGGCAAGATAAATTAATTGAAAAACTATATTTAATTTAATGATTGAGGTGTGGAAAATTATACAAAAGTGGGTGATTTTGATGAGAAAACAGTTTAAAAAGCTCAATTGAGCTTGTTATACTTGATGTACTCTTGCTCTTGCTCCGAAACATTGATTATACTCTCTATTAAAAGTTGCTTTTTTTAAGACCTCAATCCTGAAGTTGGGTTCAGGATTCTTATTTTCCAAAATCGAACTTTTTTATGTTGAAATATAGTGATTCTCTCTTTTATTGTATAAAGAGTTTTTTTTTTTGGAATCAAGACTAACATGTGAAGCATCTGATTGCAGACTTTTTTCATGGCTTTCTGAAATTTGTGCGTCTGGTGTTGGTTGTAATGATGCCATAATTGAGCTTGGTTGGGATAAAAATAGAGGATGACTGAAAATTTAGAAAATATTTGAACTTTCATACTGACTATAACAAGTATAGTAAAACTTATAAATGGATAAAATTCATAATAATGTCTAACTTACTGTTATATTTGTTCTTGTGTAGTGAAACTAAAAAACTAAAACAGTTAGTAATTGTGATATGCATCTGTGATCCACATTGATGATGAGGTTAGTTAAAAGGGTATATCAATATTAGCATGGTTTGAGATAGTAAGGGAAGATATGATATGTGTGACTAGATCATGATTTTTTTGATAATCGGGGTGTCCGAGGCTTTGTCCCAACTAATCCATGGGACCCGTGCAAGCCCTACCCCCCCAAACAATACGGATCAGGTAAAGCTCGGACTATGTCCGCAGGTGTGGCCCCTAAGGAATGATGAGATCATGATTTTAGGTGAAGCGGAATGGTGAAATAGGATTTATATAGCTGACCTTAAATTGTTGAGAAAAGGCTTTGTTGAATTGAGTGAAAACCTTTGTTTCTAGTTTAGAGATACTGCATGAAGGACATCAACTGCATATAGATAAATGAAGCTAATCTATGTAGTATGCTTGCACTAATTTCAAGAATTACGTTGTATGGTTGAATTCTGTCCATAAACATCCCCTCACATATATGTATTTATAGACTTATAGTTATGCAGGAAATGTGTAGTTTCAATTTGGTGTTATTAGTCTTCCACTCTTTTGTATGAGCTGTTCAGCGAGGTTTCTGTTTGTATTAAACTTGCATTTGAAAATAGAAAAAAAATATACAAAGAGTAAGAATATTGAATCAAGTGGGAATTATGTTGAAAATTTGAAATAATTTATTTTTGGGCCAGAAGAATCCAAATACAGTATGGGAGGAGGGGGGTGTGGATGATAGCCCTTCATTCATATACCATTCCCCTTCCCCAATACCTTGGTGAAGGTGAGCGGTGAGCTAGCTTGATCCTAATATCCTGTGGCCGTGAGCATCCAGAGATATTGCCAGGAGGGTAGCTGGCACTTCATATCCAGTACTATAAACTATAGCCTTCCTCCCTGGATTCAGATCATTTGGAATCTTGATACGACAATTTTTACCAATACTGCTATAAGTTACTATTTTTTTTTGGGGGGGGGGGGGAGGGGGTGTTGTTGTTGTGGTAGTCCTTTATGCCATAGGACAAGTCTTGGGGAAAACAATGCAAAGGGAGACCTACGAGGGGTTGTGCTTGGAGAAGGAAAGTCAATTGATATAGTTGTTTGAATGGTGGGAGTCTCATTAATCTCTGATAGCTACATATATCTATTGATATTAGAGTCTCACCATTTGGGCTGTTAATGAGCCGAGTAGTGGGCTGTTCAAGCTCGGCTCAATCATTTTACAAGAGTGTTTGAGCTAGGCTCTAGCTCGACTCGAGCTCGGCTAGCTCGTTTAATCACCATCATGTTTTTCCATGCATAGATTAAAACCTAGAACTCATGCATAGATTAATCACCATCATGTTTTTCCAGACATCTCAGAACAAAAGAAAGGCTAATCTACAAAGAATTTTGAGAGATGACATTAAGAGAGGAGAAATGGTGAGAAAAAAAAAATCCTTTGTAAACTACTTCCAGTCTTTATTGAAGGTTTGTGGGCAAATAATCAGAGCGGAACTGAACTGGTTTGAAACCCCTTTGACCGGCGAAGTTCGAAAAAAAAACCACATTTGAGAAAGAATTAGAAAGGAAATTAAAACCTAAGATACAGAGAAAAATTTGGTAGATAGGGAGAGATAGAACAAGAGATTTAGAGAGACAAGGGAGCTATGTTACATGGACTTGGGTATGTGTATTGGGTACGGTTATGTGTCGGACGTGTCAAATCCCAAATAAAAGGACGCATGGACACTGCTAAATATTCATATTATTAAATGTTTATATTTTATTCTTTAAAGTAAAATAGTGTTTTATGTAATATAGTGACCAGAATAGAGTTGAAATAATAATATAATAAAATGGAATTATTGGATATATTTAGGTGCATGTCCAATCAAAACTGTTGGACACATATCCCATACCCATGTCCGAATAGTATGTGTTGGACACGGGTAGTTCACCTACTTTGGAAGAGTCCATGTAACATAGGAAGGGAGAAAGAAACTCACTGTCTTCCGACTGGCGTCAATTCTGGGATCCAGGGACCGTGAATCGTTGAAGGATTGAAATGGAGTATGTGATAATGGCGTGAATCGTTGAAGGGTTGATATTGAGTATGCTTGAGTTGAGATAGTACTCCTAGCATCCTACTTTAGAACAATTAGAAGACTCTAGGGACTAGCCTTAGAAGTGGAAGGCTGTAGTCTTGAGTGGCGTGAAGCGTACTTGAGAAGCCACCACTTAATAATTTTAGTAATTCATTTGCTTAAATATTTTGAATCTTTGACTCTTTGTACTATTATATACTACTGTAATATATAATATATATTATATGTAATATTTATAAATAATTGAATTCTAACGAACACGTTCATGGGCTCCGCGAACAAATGAGCTGAACTCACACTTGTTTGAGATTGGTTCTTTTATGAAACGAGCTTTGAAAAACTGTTTGAACTTGGTTTGTTTACAAAGTAAACAAACGTGAACCAAGCTATTCTCGAGCCAAGCCCGAGCTGTTTGCTGAGCACTTGGTTCATTTACAGCCATACTCACCATTATTGGGGAAGCATAGGAATCAGTCCTCTACCCCTAAAGCTCAGAAATTTCATTCATATACATGAAGGACTTCCTTGTTTAGTCATAAAAGTGGAACAAAATTTATACAGCTGATGCTAAGTAGGAGTCGTAGGACAAGCTTTGTTGAATTGAATTCAGTTGACTCCAAAAAGAAGCATGTAAGTAATGGTTACCTGCTAACATTAGACTCCCATAAATAGTGATAAAAGGAGACATGGGATTCTATTCTAGATCTTATTTTAGTATTGATTCAAGAAGGAATCTTTTGAACGAGTGGTCCAGTTGTTTTGATAGATGATACTTTGATCTAGATTTTGTGTAGAAAGATTCCTATGTTCTGAGTCAAAATAAAGGTATATGGATCTCTTCCTTTTATCCGCTGAACTCAAATTTCTTAAAAAATAGTACATCCAACGATTTTTTATATCAAGATTTCTAGAATGTTGAATCCCTCATTGCAATCTTTCGTATCATTTTCACCATCACACAAATAATTACAAAGTCCTTTTTATTTTGGAAAAAAGAGTTTGTTTTTCCTCTGAAGTGTGACTTCCCCATTGCAATTATAATGGGTAGACTTAAGTCCAATTCTGAAATGCATTTATTTATGTCAATTCTGAAAATTTGGGTTTAAACTTAAGTCCTGGTAGGAGTATAGGGGAGCAGGTGGAGGAAGATTGAATGACTTAGAACACTGTCCCTCTTTGTTTGACGTGGCACATTTGGGGAGAAGAACAATCGACAATCTTTTGAGCTAAGTGGAGGACTCAATCCATAAGTTAAAGAGCATATCCTTGTTATTGGGTGACTGGAACTTTTTGCTCCCTTGAAGAGTTTCTGAACTTCGTATAGAATTTAGATTCACTGGCTGTAGATAGTGTTCATCACTGTGGGGCCTACATGCCCCGCCCCTTGGTATCAAGGGCGGACCTAGGAATTTTCACTTGTATGATTTATTTATATATAAATTAGGAAAAGACTTGCCTACTCACCGGTGAGTAGGTCATCGCTGATATGGTCCAATCAAAAATAGTCTGTAATTACAAAATCAGGAAAGTGATAAATAAGGATAATAAATTTTTTTGGAATAAATTCAGTCACCTTTGATTTTCTTATTTATTACTTTCCTGATTTTGTAATTGCAGATTATGTGTGCATTTGTAGTTGGATTACATCAGCGGTGAGTAGTAATGACCTTCTCACCGGTGAGTAGGCAAGTCTTATCCTATAAATTATAGATATTCTTATTTTTTTCTTTCAATAAAATTTCTAGTATTTGTTTTTAGTATAAAAGAAGATCTAATTTTGAGAAGAACCTCATGTTTAAAGGTTTATTAATTTAATTTTTTCGGGAGGGGGATTTTATTACGAGGATTTGAAAACTTTTGCCCCCTCCACTGTTTTATCAATATGAAATAGAATTAGCCTCACTTTACTGATATATCTTTACTGAATTCTAAAAATAATACTTTTTTGTTTGAAAAAAAAGAATAAAGACTAGATATAGGGTTTTCCCTTTCTTTTTAGTATATTTTATCATTTCCAGGGCGGGGATTCTTATTTTCCTCATTTACCCTCATATCACAATCACAATAATAAAGGTTTTTTATTTTTATTTTTAAAATAAGTAATAATAAAGGGGCTTTTATCTTTCTGTATCTCGAAAATAGCAAATGCACGATCTTTAGTCAAAATTAAAGGGTCATTGAAACTAATTAAGTAAGTTTAAAATTTTGTTTGTAACTTTCTGAATCATCATTTCTTTGAATTACTATCTATATGCTCATATGCCTCTCGCTTTCAACCCAATTGATAAAAGGCGATATTATGTACAAAAAATGTGTTAATTTGTAAGTGATTCAAAATAGATCCTATATTGTGTTGATAAAATGCATTTTTTTGTTTCAGATTTATGAAATCAAATAAATGAGAAATGAATCATTAAAAAATGAAAATGGGAAAAGACATTATTATTTTTAGTTCTTTCCTTGGATTGAGGGTAGAACTATCTAGTTACAACAGTTCAATTAATTCTAGGGGAGCATAAACTACACGAAAGCCCTAAGTTAAATAAAACTAACACCCTACATGAAAACACTGAACCTTCAAATTCCTATTTGAATGAATTTTTATTCACCATTTTTAATTTTTCTTAAAAAAATTGCATTGACTTGACCCCTTTTATCGATTGGATATGAATAGGCTATTATGAGTTCGAGCAAGCCGCTATAGTGAAATCGGTAGACACTTTGCTCTTAGGAAGCACCCACAATCCCTTGAGTGGTCCATCCCTGCTTGATATCATAGTACACTTGAAAGCTTTCTTAAGGCACAAAAGTTGTCATTTTGACTTCATGTTTAATGGCAAGGCAAGGCAGTTTTCGTGAAAAAGGATGTATAGGAAAAGTAGATGGTCATTACTTGTTGTGAGCTACATAGTGATCCTTATGAATAGGCTTTGTGTTGTTGGCACTTGTAGTAAAATGTTTGAACTTGTGAATTGTATACAGCTCTACTTGCTTTCATGGAAGCAATTTCCCTGCTCAAAGTTTGAGTTTTGGTTGATCAAATTATTAAGACAATTGATCCTGACATGTACGTGAGTTGCAGCTGCTTAGATTACAGTGTCATTCTTTCCATAGTGAATTTATTTATTCATCTTTCCCAACTTCGTGAACAGTTGCAGCTGCTTAGATTACAGTGTCATGCTTTCCATAAATTTTACTTATTCATCTTTCCTAACTTCGTGAAGTTACTATTGTATTTCTAGTAAAAGTGATGCTTTATATTATTGACTGTAAACAAGACATGATTTTGAAGTAAATAATGGATTCTGTAACCAGTTATCCTTTCCTTGTTAAACATAAGATTAGTCATTTATTACAAATGAATCTTGTGATTTATGAGTTCTGGTTTCACTTGCTACAGGTATTGCTGGCTAGTAGAAAATTGGATAGCGGATGTTATAGTAGGTGAACAAATCTGGGATAGCAGTTGAACTGTGAAAATTTCACACTCCCATCTCGTTAATATCTTTCAGTTCAAAAAGTTGAAAAGAAAATTGGTATCTAGAGCTAACTGGAGTGCCTATTTTGAAGAAGTAAGTTTAGGGACAGAAGTTACAATGGATTTTAAGGATTTGAGTTTTGAGTTACCATTTAGGTCTTCCTTTTTGGTTTTTGTGGTGAGATGTAAAATAATATTGCGGCATATAGTCAGAAATGTATCATGCATCTCTGGTGAGGCGGCTATACATGAAAAAGATAAGACTGATTCTTTTGGTGGTTTTATTTCTAGGTTTCCATCTTCTACTGTAATGTCACTGCAAAGTTGCAGTTTCTTGTGAGGTATGCTTTGTTTTTGTTGTCATATTTGTTCGGTTTTGTTTCTCCTCAGGTTGTACCAGAGTTTTTTTTTTCTAAATTTACTAGTGTGAAACATTTGAGGGATATCCATTTAGGGGTCCTCATGAATAAGTTATTACATGTTAGGATTCTTTTTTTCCTTGGCAACCTTCTTTGCTACAAATTAAAGCTTTACACGTGTGAAATGGACTTGTAAATTGAACATCTGATTCAATGTTTTCTGCAATATTTTCCTCTGCTTTTGCTTTGAATGACCTACTCAAGTTACATATAAATGGTTCAATCTCTTGTTCATTTTAATGAACAATTATATAGAAAATTCATTAGCAGCTCTTTTTTTTTTTTTTTTATTTGTTGTTGATTTGGTAAGTGGAACTAGGATCATAAAATTCTGAAAGGGTTAATTGCTAAAAAGCCCTTGAATCATGCAAGTTCTGCAAATTGCGCCCTGCACTATGCAAGATAACCCTCTTTGGACTCTTGGAGGGGGTATCTTGCAATCATTTTTGATAACTGAAGTGGTGAAATGCTATTTTTTTGCAGTTCAAGGGCGCAACTTGTCATTTTTATTTTTGTTATTTATTTTTCATTTACAATTAATCCATTTCTGAGTATGATCTTGCATATTTTCGAAACGGGACAGCTTTTCCTCAGCTGATTCATTCATGGTCATATGAGCATCTTAATTTTTTTTCCTCTAGAAGTTTCTACGGCTTAAAGCAATTGTTCGAGGAAGTGGCATTGACCCTGATAGCTTTCAAGTTGCCATCATATTGACTAGCTGTTAGTGCATGTTCCTTTGTCTATATGCCTGCAGTTTGAATTTCAATAACCATTTGTTTGGACAGTTAATTTATTGCGTTTGGATAAATATTTATGCTGTTAGTCTGATAGAGAGTTGCTGTGATTGCTTCTTTGGAGTTGATGGCCATACCTTAGCTTTCAAACCCAAGGCATTAGGTTATGTTTGGGAGTACCTAGTCCTCGGGCTTGGATTTGGAAGAAACCTAGTTAAAATGTTAATCTGTCGAGTTAAATTTCAACCTAGTTAAAACGTTGAACCGTTGAGCTAAATTTTCTTTGATCCCAAATTCAAAACACTGATTCGGTGCTCGCACAGGCAACATGAGCAAAAGTAATTTATTTGGAATAAATTATATGGACCTACCTTATGGTTTGCCACAGTTACAGAGACCTCCCCTATGATTTGAGAAATTACACGGACCTCTCCTGAAATTGAAACATTGTTACAGACCTCCCCTGAATAAGTGGAGGTGATGACATACATATCCACTTATTCTGGAATGCTGTCTCAACAATGGGTTTTATAAAACCCAGATAACATTGCATTTGTTGGCAAACACCCGCAACCACATTTTTGCCAATGGGGATGCTGTCAGTGAGAAATGATCAGAGGAAAAGCCAATTAATTGCATGATATTTCTAGCATTCCTGTTGTCCAAGTGCTATAGCACTTGTCACACAGTCTGGGCCCATGAGTTGAGATCCCCTCTCTCTCACATCAATTGAAGCAGCATGATACACCAAGGTCACTCCTGTTTGAATTCAATTTAGAAATGACAGATGATATACCTTAAAGAGGGACAATGTTTGCCTGTTGCATTCATATTCATCTGCACTTTTCTACTTTTCTATATGATTCTTTGATCTTCCTAATGGGAATTGTACTAGTAGTTAAATGGTTAGAAGAGCTGGAATTTCTTGTAGCCCAATAGTTAAAAGGGAAAAGGGGAAAAGGAAACAAAGTGGGACATCACCTTTCTAGTTTCCTTTAAGTTGGCCATCATCAACTTTTCTCTCATCTTTTACAGCCTGTAAATTTCAAACTCCCACTGCACAACACCAATGCACAATTGATGGGGCAAAAAAAAAAAAAAAAAACAATGGGAAAGCAATAACCCAACAATTTCTACACTAAAAGATCCTGCTCATCACACCCCCACAAAGCATTGATGGTAGATAAATAATTCAACTTTGAAATCATAAATGCGAAACGATCATTATTTTTTTAAAACAAAAAAAAACCCAAGATTCTAAAACCGAAAATCATTAGTGTTCTACAAGTGCTTGGCCAAACCGTCGAGTGTCGTAGCAGAAGGGAGTTGAAGGAAATTCTCAAGGAAAGTTCAGGGAGTCAGATTTCAATTATTAATGCAAGTGCTACTGAGAGTAGAGATTTGTTAAAGACGATCCCGAACTACCCAAATTCAATCCCATTGATGGCCACAATTAAGGTAGAGGAATGACTCAGATATGGAAGATGCAGAACTGTGTCATGATTCATGATGGGATGTGTTTCGTCCTATAGACAGTTCCCCACTTACAGGTTATAACTTTTCCAGTTCCTTCTTATTTTTCCCTTTGAATGTTTTATGATTCTCTCTCATTTGAAGTTCTGATATGTTAATATGACTATGGGCTATTAAGAGCATAGGGAAAAATAGAATCTTTGTTATTATTATTATTAATTTTTTTATTTTGGGCAATTTTAGAAGTGCTTAAATTATCCAAAAGTAGGAATGTAAGTCTAAATTGGCAAGGTGATACTACTTTTTTGGTGGATTGAAACTTTGTCCCTAAGTGCTTGGCTTTTAATCAGGTATCACTTTCAATTCAGCATCTAGGATTTTGTTGAGTGAGATATTATTCTTGTACTGCTGCAACTATCTTCTTTTCTTAATTTACATTTGTGGGTTAAATTTTAAATTTAAATTTTTAAAATTGTTGTCCTGTATTTTGTGGACTACTTTTCTGAACTACTAAACAACATAACATATATATATATACATATACATATCCTTCTCTAATATCTGTGCTATAGATGTCCTTATATGTATTTTAGCATAATTGTACAGAACATATCCCTAAACCAAAGGTCATGGGGTGGTCCAAATTTATGGCTGGTAATCCATGTTCAAGAATATAAATTATTTCCAGTACCAAATTCATATTTTGACAAAATCTTTATGATTGTTGAACTTAATGATGCAGAAACAAATCAAATCATACTCCTTAACCGAAAAAAAAAAAAACAAGTCAATGCATACTTCCTCAAAGGAAATGATGGATGCAATCAAATATAAGCATTAAAAACTCCAACAGCAGTTGCAATACAAACAGTTCTTGAAAACACAAATAAAACAAGTCTACTTCTCAACTATACTATCCCAACATAACCCTCATACTTAGTTTCACTCGCTACTAAAATTAGAGTTGAGATTTACAATATAAGTCACCTCTTTGTCGGCTGAACCAATCAAAGAACGTTCAGAAGAATGCCCTACTCCCGTAAAACACTCTTGGGCTGGGGCCGTTGTCCTTTGATGCTTGTACTTTCTCATCGGAGTCTGTATTCTCTGAAGTGGCTGATCCACTTTCGATGTCCATAGGAAGCTTCATCTTTGCCAACGACTCGGTGAATTGCTGCATGCTTTTCATGTACATGTCGACTATTTCTTGCTGCACCAGCTTTGGTTCTGCCTCAACTTTAACACCGATAACAGGTGCAAATGTGCTAACCGGCACTGCAGAGGAATCACTCTCACTGTCAGCCTCTCCAACATTTGCGATTTTCTCCTTTGGAGGTGAAACGGCATCCTGATTAGTAGATTTTGAAGCTCCTGGAGTATCACATTCAGAGTGAGAGATTGCAGGAACTGAAATTGGGGGGGAACCATTTGTTAAATCATTACTCGGGGAAGTTTCAACCTTCAAAACTTCAATAGCATCGAGACCACCCGTAGGGAGGCTTTCTAGAATATGATCAACCATATCGTCCGAGCTATGGTGATTATCATTTTCTGTAGTGCCCAAGCTATCAGAGATTTGGGGTTCTTGATCAGCACATGGGATCCCAAAATACTCAGAAACCATCATTTCATTTTCATTCATGATCTTCGGATCTAGGAACTCAATCTTGTCAAATTCATTAGGAATTGAACTTGATATATCTGAATCTTGCCCAGCGGCACTTGCAGTCAAAGAGGATCGCGGAGTAGGAATTTCTAAGACTTCGGGCAAGGCACCAGTGTAAGTGAGTGTCAACTGGACAAAACCAGCTGGAGAATGGAATAGATCATTTGAGGAGAGTGGAAACTCTTGCTCTAATTTCCCATTCCCAATGAGAACATCTGAAAGAGGCACCAATGCAAATCCCAACGACTGATCTTCAAGATAATTCTTTACCCTACTCAACATCCATATTTCACATTTCAGCGAAGAATCAATTGTCCGAACATTCAGTTGTAGAACCTCATCGAAAACCGGATTCTTCCCCCCACCGTTGATTGTCCGAGTTGCCACCGTTGTTGCAGGATCACTCGACAAGCAAAGCTTGGCATAGACATCTTGTTTGTGATATATACATATATTGTGGATGTCCCTTGCTTGGTGTACGTAGACCTCAAGAAACCCAATTAACCCCTCTGAATTTCCCACCATATTTTCCTTTCTACCAACTCCGGATTCCCTTAACACATTTTCCTTTCTACCAACTCCGGATTCCCTTAGCACATTTCCAGAGTTGCAAACTACCAAATCGGGTTTTGGATTCACAGACCCGGCAATAACAGAGGAGTTTGGCAACATGACTGTTTGATGAGATTCCATGATGGAAACAGACTCTGAGTTCACAAAATAAGAAGAGGTAAAATGGGTTTTGAAATCAAGTAGTGCAAAGCAAAACCCTAATTAGACCTTAGCAAATACACCCACAAATTGGCAGTACAGCTTCAAATCAAATTGAAGGAGTTATTTAAATCTTGAACCCAAAAGTCAATACTGAAACTTAAAAGTCGTGCAACCCAAAACCCTAGTCTAGGCTCAGCACTCACAAGCTTGAAGCACAAATTAAAATCAAAATGACGACTGAGCTATATATATTGAACCCAAAACTCAATCCTGAAACCAAAACCCTAAATTAGCATACCTACAAACCTGAGCAGAACTTTAAGACCCAATAACCCAAGACAAAATTATAGACTTTTGTTTCTTGAGCCCCAAAATTCTCGATACTGAAGCCAAAACAAACCAAAACCCTAGCAGAGTCAAGATTTCAAACCCCCAAAAGCCAATTTTCTGAACCCTTTCAAGGTGAAATTGAGCCAAAACCCAGATATTAAAACTTAAAACCAACCAAAACCCATTATTAAAAACACACACGTAGTCCAATAAAGTAATAACTTTTCTTCAATAATTGCAACAACTTTCAGAAGTCAGAAACCAGACAATGAGAGAGAGAGAGAGAGAAGAGAGAGAGAGAATAAACAGATACAAATAACAGATATAAGAAATGTATAGATGTAATGGAGCGCAGAGAGAGAAGAAAAAGGGAAATCTGAGAAGAGCTTACTTGTTTGTTGGGTTTGGATTTTTTTGCAGAGAGAGTCAAACTAGAGTTCCGTGAAGTTCTTGGCGACCACCAGGATAGGTTAGGATTTAGAAAATAGAAATGTGTAGTGTTAGTAGACAAAGCCGTTTCGTGAATGGAGTCACAGCTAGCGAATGTCAAAGTTCTATGTCAGAAAATCTACGGAAGATTTATGACTATTTGATTCATTTATTAAGCTCAGATTTTGAACCCTGTCTCAACTAGTGAGTCCAACTCTGCTTTTATTAATAAGGTAATATTATTAACTAACAACATACATTTTTGGAAGATTTGAAAATGTTGGATCAGTGCAGAGCCCAACAGTCACAAGCCCAAGCAAACTAATTTTTTTTCATTTTGTCCATCACTTCTGTCTTTCTTGGGTGCAGTTATAGGCTTGAGAGAGTGTTTTGATGGGTTGAACCAGCTCGGCCTAGGTTCTCTCTCATCTACAAAAGTGGGGTGCCCTTGGGCCACAAACCCAAGCCCTAGCTAACTACTTGTATGGGGTGACACACATTTTCAAAAATCTTCTAAGGTGAGATAACCTACTATCGGATCCAATTTCTTATGTATCTGTAAATGGTTCGGAAATGGTTTTGAGTAAATATGCTATGATCATCTCATCTCGGAGAAAAATGTGTTCCAACAAGGTCCCTTCACAAAAATTTAGTGGGATTTTGATTAAAAGTACGTTAATTCATTTATATATATATATATATATATATATATATATATATTGTTAAGAAATTTACACACTCCATGTTCACGTAGACTTGAAGTTTTGACTTTTTCCGAAAGTATTCCTAACTACAATTGGAAAAAAGTAAGAAAATATTACCAACTACCATCTACGGTCCAAAGTATGCTTGTTCAAAACTTAATTTTCAACAAATATAGTCTTGGATTCAGACTATAAGACATAAATGATGACTCCACCGACAAGAAGATCAAAAATGGCTAAGCACTACCTTCAAAAGAAGGGGTGGAGCCTACAAATATAAGAAATAAAATTAAGTATATATCAAAGAAAAAATATATTTTGAATTGCAAATAACAATTATAATAACATATAAAAGGAATATTATTAAATGCATATACCACACCAATTTCAATATCCATGACAAAGGTATATATTGCAACATATGATATAAATTAGTATATATAATTGATTTGAAAAGAATAATCTACATAACAGTATATAAATATTTTATTTTTCAAATCTATTTATGTGGAAAGTTAATGAATGAAACATAATTTCTCCTGAACATCGTAACATTACTTAAATATGCATCAACAGTTTCATAAATAAACAATCACATGTTTTAAATAACAAATCCACATCAATTTAAATGCAAGAATAATATCAAGCATATTCGCAAATTCAAACCTACTAAAAAATGTGGCAAAACTTACATGAACATACTACAAAATATTATTCCTAACATAGTTCAGTGTAGATATATAATAAATGAAATGACGCAATTCATTTAAGTTTTATGAACTAATTTTCTACATAAGAGTATTATTTATCTAAAATATAATATTATTTCACATTCGAAATCCATTTAAATGTAAGAGTGGATATCTCTCAATTGGAAAGGAAAATAAGAATAACTCTCACATTAAATGAACTAATTTTCTCCATAAGAGTATTACTAAATCGTTGGGACTGTATTTCTTTAATCAATCATAATTTACAATCCCTACAATATTTGGGATATGCATATACAATCCTTCATATCGATCCACCCTTCCACAATCAATCATAATTTACAATCCCTACAATATTTGGGATATGCATATACAATCCTTCATATCGATCCACCCTTCCACAAACCATATGAATTTAGAATGTAAAAGTATTTTATAGTAATACGTGGATCATAAATTTTAATTGCATTGGTTCCGTTTTTATTTTTCTTTATAGGGTATACTTGAACTATGTTAGGATTAATTGTGTATGGTATGTAATATTAGTGGTGACACATGTTGAAAAAGTTTGAATACGTGAATATGCATGGTATTACTCTTGCACTTAAATTGATGTTGATATATTAGGTAAAAAAAATGCGATGGTTTATATATTAAATTTTTTAGACATGTTACAGATGATTTGTGTGTCGTACGCAGCGGAATATTTAGAAAATTTTGTTTATTTTGAAAATAGATCTATGTCTTTACCAACTTTACTTTTTTTAGCAATTAAATAATTAATCACATGCAGATAAAATAAAGCAAAGTATAAAGTTAGAAATGACACCAGAATTTTAGCGAGGAAACCTCAGTTGATAAAATACGTCAACTGTTTGTATAGAAAAAACCTCGTGGACTGTGCAGTCTAAAGTAAACCGATCTACTATACTTGAAACAAAGTATACTGAATTTTGACTCTGACTCACACCCTATTGTTCTACCAAATACCAACTGCTGACAATCCTCTGGCTTTGTGACTCCTTGTCCAACAGCAACTTAACCTCAGGCTTATATTTGATATTTGTAGAAGAGTAGCAGGTAGATTAGACAACATTCCTCGAATGCTCCAACCCTTTCAAAGTGTGATCGCTTTTACTTATGTTCTTCAATCGTCTGGATTCGATGTAGAAGTAGATCTCTTTCGTCTGATCGATGTAATGATCAGGATTTGAACGCCACAACTCTAAACTCACTATGTGTTTATGTGTATGTGTTCTAGAAAGATGACAGAAAAATCAACTATGATTTTCTCCAAAAAATAATCTTCCTAAGGCTTTTAAGAATAATGAATCTATAGAACAAAAGCCGTATCTAAACCTATGTGTATGACATGGTTTATATAGAGGTTTGTAAAGTCCTATTCCTTCTGAAAATAAAGGAAATTTAGTGCATATGACTTGGAAGGAAAGTTGAATAAAAAAAGAATCAAACAGAATAAGCTAACTGGAAACCTTTTGCAATCAGGACTCTTGGAACCAGTTCCCACATTTGGTACCGTTCCCAAAAGACAGAATAGAGTTCTTCGAACCTTAGCTTCTGGAACTGGTTCCCAAATTCAGGTACCGGTTCCCACTTGACAGAATCCAATTGGAACTTGGATTTTTTGTATTTTGGTAACTCTGAACATATAACATGTAGTTAATTGTGTTCTAAGTGGGAAACATTGTCCTAATGTGTTATTCTTGCCTTTTCGATGGTCAACAGTACTTTTCTCTTCTGAACAAACTTCCAATTCCGCAGTCGATGTCGAGTCTGATATGATAACTAAAAGTACAACTCGACTAGGACTTATTTTGTAACTGAAATATGCCAATTACAAAAATATATCTCACAATTTGATGCTAACTAGGAAAATTAACCAAGCCTTTAACTATTTTGGGTACCAAATTCCACCCCCGAACGGCCGCCAAATATGGTAAAGTTTGCTTTATCATTTTGAATAATATTATAAAAAAATTTACATCACAACTTAAACTTAACATGTTTTAAGTTGTTATGTCATTTTGAAACATTTTTGTTTCAAAAATAATATGTGATACATGTTACAAATAAGTTGAGATGTTAAATATAGTTTAGGTTTGAAACATATTAAGTTTAATTTGTGTTTATTTGTGTAGATGCAAATATTTAGAAGAAATGAATTAATCCACACTCAAGAAGAACACTTGAATTCTTTTATTGTTTAGTTAAAGCCTTTAATTAGAGTTAAAAAGTCTCGATTCCGTTTACCTTTGCCCTTTCTCATTTATTTATATAGGAAATATTATAAGTGTTATGCCATTTTCCTTTGCACTTTCTCATCCTACATTATACACTAAACCTTCAAAAAATAAAAAAATAAAAAGAATTATTAAATAAAATACTTTTTTATAATATCGGCTTATTTTCTAACATTTTCACCTTTAGTTTCATTTTAGGATCTTATAAATATTGAATTAAGTAAGTTGTGATTTATATTTGGAATCGGTTCCTAAACTACATAAAATTTATTTGTGATTACCTTATGAAATCGTTTTGATGTTATTGTAAACACGTGTTAGGTTTCCCAGACTTCGATTAGTTTTACGAATCTCATATTTATATTTAATGAAATAAGTTATGATTTGTGTTATAAATGTGTTCCTACACTCATAGTTAGTAAAATACGGTATGGAAAAAATACGGGTACGAAAATGTACGAGTATAATTCGATATATTTTTTAAAATACGTTTTAAAAAAACGAAAACGTAGAAATATGAATACAGATGTGTACGTGTATAATACGTTATATGCACTAAAAATTCGGCTATACACATCTTATTATTTTCTTATATATTATATATTTGTAAGGATAATGAATAATACGTAACAAATAATAAAATAAATATTACAATTAACACTATCACAATAATCATATCAGAAATAAACTATCTAAATATAATTAATCAATAACCATAAGTCCATAACATGATCAATTTATCAAAAAATTAATGAAAAAAATTCTAATTCAATTAATCAACTATGTTGCCTAAATTTAAAATAAAATGCATCTGCTTGAACCTCTCAGGGTACTTTTGAACAAATTTCAATATCTCTACCTTTTACCCCAGATAAATGTGATTTGACTATTGAAATCTCTCCATGATAGTTAGAGTTTTGTTCAACATGACCCCAAAATGCATCCCTTTTTATTTTTTTATATATCATTTTTCCTTGATAGCCTATATATTTATAATAAATGCATAAGTATATGGTGTGATATTTGTGAAAATATCTTTATATTCTACTAAAACAACTAGTGAATGTGGTGATTTACAAACTTCGAAAATAATAATAATAATAATAATAAAGATACTAACAAAATTTAAAAGATCTCAAAACAAAACAAAATTTTTATAAATGTCTACAAATATCAATAAAAATCTATAATTCTTCAAAATTATAGTGTTCTACAAGGTATATATATGTGTTTCATTACTTTGATTAAAGATCAAGCATTGGATTGACAATAATAAAATATTAAAAAAAAAAAATAGAGTTATAGTAGAACAACTGAGTGGTCACAGCCTTTCTCGAGATTGCACAACAAATAATATTATTTTGATGGTGTGAAAGAGAAATGCTATACCAAACAAAAGATGCTAGTTTGTGTTAAGAATATGTATTTAAGAAAATTACACCATTAGAAACGTGAATGAAATAAAAAAAATAATTAGGTTACCCTAAATTAAGTATAAATACGAAT